TTCTCTTCATTATCTTTATACTTGTGTGAAGGAACTGGGACTAATCATTGACATAATAGACACTTATGTTGCCTAACTCTGTCCTAACTGACAGGGGTACATAAAGATGTTCCTGTAACTCGGTAAAATTCAGTTAGGCAAAGTTTTGAGACATCTTAAGCTTGAGGAGTAGCACTGGGCAGCAAGTAACACACATCAATTTGCTGCAAATTCCATTAGGATTGGAGAATTTTCTCTAGACCTCTATATAATTAGTCTTGAACGTGTTTCTTTAGGTCTCTCCTTGCTCTGCAGAAACGCTGCTCCTCTAGCACATGCTCAGTGATGCCATCAAACACTTCATATGCCAGATTAATTCCATGATTACAGACGGGTGACTCCATAGCAAGAGCTTCTCTTAACACCTATCTTAGAATATGCAGAGCTGCTGTCATTTTACCAGCATCCTGGGAAGCAGAACAGGAACTGCTGCAAGGCACATTCGGAGCGAGACAGAACAAAATCCAGCCTCTTGCACAGAGAAAAATTTGGCTAAGTCTTCCCCAGCAGCACTCACCTGGTTAGTTTGAGCGTGTTGTCCAGAGCAGCGGAGAGCAGCAAGCCATCTGCTCGACTGCCAAAAGCCAGGCCCCGAATCTGTTTGCTGTGGATGGGGATGTACTGACTGCTCTTCAGGTTGGCTGCGCTCATCATCTTTACACCACAGCCTGCCACAGGAGAAGGATAAAGCAGGTTACCCAGATGCTGCACACAAGCAAGGCCACGAATCAACTGTTCAAGAGTCTGGAACTAGTAGGTTTGTGTCAGAACTACAATGCCTATGACAAAAACAGTGGTGTGATGTACATGTCAGAGTTGCATGGTGTTCTGGACAGGAACATATGTCATTCTGTAATTCTGAAGTTATCTTTAAGGACCCCAGTCAGCAGTGGAGAACTCAAGGATTGCAACATTAATAGTGCTGCAAGAACCTGCTGCTCTTCACCCAATTCCTTCAAAGACTTCTGGCTTAGATGAAGAAACACGCAGTGGATTAAGTGGAATTAGGAGCAAGTGCCACTGTAAAAAGTCTTAACCTGTGCACAACAAGAATGAAAGTCTCCATTCACAGGTTCACGCCAAGACAGTTACCTGGCTCAAAAGCCAAAGAAAAAAAAATGAGGAGGAGAGAGAGGAGAGAAAAAAAAAAAAAAAAAAAACCACACACACTAAGGAAAAGATTTGCTTATAACCCAGATGGGACAAATTTCTAAATTGTTATCCAAATTTTTAAAAAGTAAATTTCATCATTCAGAAAAATAAAAACACTTTGCAATGAGTCTCTCAGACTCCCAATGATACATGTATAGTATTTAAATTAAAAGCTGATGTAAATCCAACCATCAGTTCACTTGTCCATGACCCCATCATAAAGAAATTGGTCCGTCTAGAGCTTCTCGGCTTCCTCTTTCCACACAGGAAAGCGCTGCTTGGACAGTCATTTTAAAAGATTGGTTAGAGCAAAGCTTCCTATGGAGGTGACATTCAGGCTGCCTGCTAGCAGCCTGGCACAGACAGGGGGAGGACGAGTCACCCCACGAGGTGCGAGTTACCCAAGAAAGGGCCGGACGAATAAAGAGATTGCAAGAGCTCTCCGTTTACATAGCAGGTGCAAAGCTCAAGCCAGGGAAGAAAGGAAGCAGAGAACACATTCAACGTTTAATTCTCCCATTACAACCCCATCACCGCCCGCAAAACCCCAAATCTTGATTTGCATCGTTACCGGGAACGAACGTTGACTGCGGAGAAGGCTGCGACACCACGAGGCAGCTGAGCGCGTCGCAGAACGCCATGACCCTGCAGCCGCCGGCCTGCGACACCGCCACGGCCTTCTCAAACTGGTACCGCCGCTGGCTCTGGCTGCAGGGGAGGCCGCCGGGGTGCTGGGGAGCAGCCACACTGTGCTGGGCCACCAGGGCTTTCAGCTCCTGCAAAGAAAAGGACCCCGGGAGGCTTTAATGTGACCCTGGAGACGCTGTTGCATGTGCTATCTGCTCAGAGCATGCTTGGCCCCAGAGCGGGGCAGAAACGTGCACTGCGCCATTCCCGTAAGGCTGCATTTCCAAGTCCACCGACTATGACAGCAACAGAAGCAACCGAAAAGCTGCACAAGCTCTGGGGAAAAAAAAAAAAAAAAAAAAACTACTCCAAGTCTCTTCTTGTAAGTGTTAGACCCTGAAAGCGAGGGCTCTTGAGCAACACATAAAAGCCAACAACAATTATGGCCAGATCAATGCTGTTTAGAAGAGAATGAACTGCCAAGTGCTGCCTGCAACTGAACCACAAGAGAAAGTCAATTAGAACCATTTTCCAGAATTTCCAGAATACCCAATTAAAAAAAAAAAAAAAAAAAAAAAAAAAGAGCCCTAGTTTCAGCATGAAGTGTTTTGCAGGAAACGAGCCCGTCTATCTAATGAAGCTAACGCTGTTCTGGTAAACTCCGGCAGCAAATTCCAGGAACGACTCTGCTCTGGAGCGCTGCAGCCTCGTTTCCCCTGCTGTGCTCGGCCGATCGCACTCCGGGACGCTCAGCAGAGCAGCCTACCCGCTACCGCTCCCGCTCCCCTTTCCTCGAGGACACCACGCACGAGGCGGGCACAGGAGCAGCAGCACCAGCACATGAGTCAGCTACAGGTGTCTGAAAAAGTTTTGGGCCAATTTAGTGCAAGGGCAAACCCAGTCTGCACAGAACGGCAGTGAACTGGGCTAACCCGAGACAATCCATCAGAGGGAGTGAAGCTATTAAGAAAATTGCTTTTTGCTTCCTGTTGTCTGAACAACAGGATTAGGCTTCAGACACTGTGTAAATATTAAACAATTAACGGGCCACAAGAGTGAGATTTTGCATATATTGGGAGACTGCAGGCGAGCAGCAACCAGCCACTACCACTTAACTCAGGCCTAAGCGGAAGCAGCAGTTCTCAAAGAAACAACAACAACAAAATCGAACTCTACTTTAATATGCAGCAATCTAACTTTGGGAAACGGCTCAAGAAGTAAACAAGCCTGCCTGGTATTTCCAGAAGACTGACCTGTTTTGTACCACATACATGCCAAGCTTCATCGCAGCACACAAACTCAACAACTCAAAATGATCCCATTAGAGCAAAAAAAAAAAAAAAAAAAAAAAAAAAAAAAAAAAAAAAAAAAAAATTTGGGGGGGAAAAAAATTTGGGGAGGAAGAAAGGATAGGAGGTACCGGGTTGCTTAAAATGAAAAATACAGCTTCAGGCCTAGAATAAAAAACTCAGGGAAAACACAGATAAGCTAAAAGAAAGCGACTTTTTACTCAAAAATTTAATTATTTCTAAGGATCAGGAAGATCCCACCCTCGGGAACAAGAAGGGACTGAACTTGCTGCTCTGGAGCTTACAGAAACTCTCCTTGCCACCCTGTTCAACATATAACCTTTAGGCAAGCTATTAATGAAAAAAGAAGCCAGGCAATTAAAAGTGTAGAGACTGTTAGTACAACGTTTACATTTAAACACAACAGAACCACCACATAGTCGCAGAAACGCTGACTGTAGACACATTACCTGGGTGATTAAAGGGTTAATCTACAGGACTAAGCTCCCGAATTGTGCTCCAAAGAGCACCCTTCTGGTCCTGTAAGTCTATTCCCTTCTTTAAAGCACTTCAAGGAGTTTTTCCCTGGTCCCTGCTGCTGACTGAAGGTCTTCCAGGCACTTCTCTGCATACGCTACCTCGACTGCAGCGCACTGCTGCGATGAGCAAACAGCCGCATGGTTTGAAGTACAAAAATAGCATTAAGAACTTCTTTACAAGGAGTGTGAATGAGGCAGGACAGTTCACTGAGGAGGAAGGTGAAATGGCTATGATGAAGTCAAGGCAGTTTGCTTTCGAGTATCTGGTTACGGTCTTAACAGCAGGCGCCGGGCTTTAGGGGCAAGGGCGGTTATGTGACAACTCGGTTATGTGACAACTGTCCCTCTTCAGCTCTGTGGACACAGCAGCTGCCTCCATGGCCCTGCAGCACATCCCACCCTCTGCTTCCCTTTAGATCACGTTCCAAGCCAGGCAGGAAAGAGGCATGGAGCTTTTCTAACAGGCCTCACCAAGTGAAAAAGCTTTTCTGTTGCATCAAGCACAACTCTGCCGTATAAACTCACCTTTACAAGGAGCACTTATACACCTTCTACTCCCCAGCAGCTTGCAGCCTCCTGGACCTCCCTGCCAACCCTCCCCTGGCAGCTCCATAATATTTCCCCACCATGAGTTCCTTCATCCTACTGCATATCAAGGCTGGAGGCTAGAGATGAATTGCTCATCATCATTAACCAACTATTACTAAAAGCAGCAAGCAAAGCCAGGATGAGGACTACAGCATTTCACATCCAAATCACAGGACGAAAAAAAATTCCCGTGCTCTTAGAGGAAAAGTTGTTGGCAAAAACACGGCTTGGGCAGCCCTGCTGCCAAAACTCAAGCCCGAGCTTGCCATGCAGTTAGCACAACACAGCTCAGCACACTCAACAAGCTCGCTTGCAAGAAGCGGTGCTGCTAACTTCCTTCCAGAGCTTCCAGTTATCCTCTCTCCCTGCAACTGAAGTTCCTTGCCTCATAGTCCTTCCATATAAGGACAAAAAGTGTCCCTCTTCTAGCCTAAAACCGTCTTAAATACCTTTGCAACAAAGCAAACTTCCTGCTGCGACTGATGGACTAGAGAATAGAAGAACATAAATGAACAAAATGGTCACAACTAACAGGCCTCCCTCCATCAAGGCTGACTGCTTAGAGGGAAGAAAAAAACAGTATGCAGGAAATTGCATAGGAATTTCAATAATTTAGGATTGTTGTTAGAGACTTTATATGCACATTATTCTCTAAAAGGGAGTCAAATAGTTAAAAGTGCAAGTGGAACCACTGAACTAAGTCTAAGTGCAATGGACAAACTTCGCAGAAGCAAAAAGTCTTACTGTAGACACAGGCTCAGTAAGAAGTGAGGAGCTCCCAAACAGGTTTCTTCTCAATGCAAATTAACAGCTAATTAATACATTCTTACAATTTTTATTGCTCAAAACACAACCGAATCCAAGCCCTGTGCTCCAGGGCTCTGTGTTCAGCTCAACAGCCATTTTCTTGAAATTGAGAGACTTCTGAAATAAAATTTACAAATTAAGTGGATCTCTCCCTTACCCTTGGGAATCTGCTTGACACAAAGAATTTTATTAGCACACAGGACAGTCAACACGACTGCTGATGAGGCACAGCTTGCAAACATATTGGCAAAAAAAAGCCTTCATAATGACTTTTTGGAGGAAACTGATAACATTTATTTTTCCTCAGACCTTAGACGCTGAGGTTTGTACACAACCTGCGAGCATAGTACCCCCCTCCTGTAACATTATGTGCAACTGAACCTGGAAATATTGATCAACCCTCCGAACATAAAGACATTTCACAGATTTCTTGTGTGATCTCATGGCACTTTAGCATGCAAAGCTGTAAATAAATGCAGAAGTGCATTAAGCATGTTTTCTGTGTTCAGTAACATTGCTTACTGAAAGGACAGGCGCAACAGACTCCACTGCAACACAGCAAATTCTGATGACATTAGTGCCAATGGCTTAAAGATACTCAAAACTTGGCATTACAGTGTCCTGAGCAGCCTGATCCCCCCAGTGACATGAGCTGTGCTTTGAGGAGAGTGGATTGGAAACCTCCAGACTTTCCAGCCTCACCAGTTCTTTGCAAGGAGCTGCTTTACTAGCTGACCTCTCAAAAATTAAGGAATTAGTTACACATATGCTCAGAATGCAACTGAACAGCCTGGAGACTTATTCCAGGCTTCCCCCCGATTTCTTGCTGCCCAGCAAACTGTTTCTACTTTCAGTTTATTCATAGCCTAAACAAGCACCTTAAAATTGCCTGCAGCATTCACATTAACAACCACAGGACAGTGATGAATGCAGTATAAATACCAAAACAGAGCTTAAGAACACAGGGTACTTAATCTTTATAATACGTGACTTCAATTCAGTTAGACCAGATCCTTTATCACTGCCAGACCAGCAGAATTGCAGGAAGACATTACAGAACCTGCAGGCTTTCCCTTTTTCACATTTTTCTTAAGCCAAAGTTTAAGTTTAATTCTTACCTTAGCCCTTACAAGCCCGCAACCTTGTGCCTTATGCACATCAGAAATGAAGACTTTAGAAAAGACAATGTTGCTTAAGGTACAGACACGAACAGTGTGAGGCTGTAGAGAACTCCCTAAGCAGAGAGCAGCATAAAAATAAGAGATTAGACAGAATACAATCTGCTGTTTTCATACAATTAGAGAAGGACAAAGGAAGAGTAAATTGGTGCTGTATAACCAGGCTTTGCCAATCCATAAAGCTCAAGGAACTTGCAACAGCAAACCCTGCTGTCGAGCTCTACTTGAAGGTTTCACATTTAGAAGCAGGAAGAGGTAGTGTTATGTGCTAGGTGTTTCAGCTGTGATGCTCAGGATACTCCTGATGATTCCCTAATTCTGTTCACTAAACCTTGTCACCTGGCCAGTGCTGGAAGCCTGTCTGCCCTCTCCTAAAAAGAGAGAGGACAGAGGCTGAACAGGAAGGGAGCCCAGTGTCTACTGGCAGCAGCAGTGGGACTCACCTGAACTTGCCTGCGGAGTTTGCTGCACTCATCTGTCAAAACCTGCAGCTGGAGGCGGCTCTGTGCAGATTCCAGCTCTGCCTGTCTCCGCAGCATTTGCTCCTTTTCTAAAGAACTGGAGGAAGGAGAGAAGAAAAAAAAAAATCAGTCTTTTGGACTAAATATCCCCTAGGATGCTTCTCAGGGCTGTTGGCGCCCATCCTTAGGCTTTGTATCAACACGGGTCACATTCAGGTACATCTAGAAGTCAGAGACAATCTGATACAACCCTCAGCCAGTACATTCCCCCCAAGACATTCTCGGTTACGCAGTTGTACTGAATGACTCACTCAAGTATTGTCTAAAGAAAGAACAGCCTTTCTCCTCACCCTCTCTAAAAGTGCTTATTTAATAAGAGGAAGGGGAAAAAAACCACCATATTTTCCTGTAGAAAGAGTTTAGCAAATTCTAACCATTAGTGTCCATGTAACACACTATGTCTGTAATACAGTAAGTCACAATAGAGGTAGATGTTTGCTTCTTTCTTCTACAAAGAAGTAGCTCTGTATGTCAGGAAAACGCAGCTGTGCCAGAAAATATACAGGTAATTTCTCTTTGCAATGCCTATATAGAAGCCATACTTACTACCACCTCACCTCAAAGCTCAATGATTTAGAAATAGTTTTGGTAACATACCTTCATGTCTCTTCACATTCGCTTTACACATGAGAGGATGATTAAAGAGCAGAAAAGAAATGCCAGGACTCCCTAAAGTTATCTGCACATTTGGTCTGCAACAGTAACCACTGCATTCTGCCCTTCAAAAGCTGCAGTAATCCAATTACTTCAGCAGTGAACGTGCACAAAGACCTGGCTTGCCCAAGCACCTTGTGAGCGTGCAAACCTGGTCCTGCATGTTTACCACGGCACGCGACCCTGCCACTTCACTAGAGCTTCTTCATGATTTTCATTGCGTCAAGAGCAGGTGAAATGCTATATTTAACCACCACAAACATTATTCACACGAGCACCCAGAGCTTGAAGAGTTGCTTTACTGTATTCAGGGAACAAAACCATGATCTTACACCTAACTCAAGGCTAAGTATTGATGTATTGTTTCCTTAGTGTTTGCTTTCCTCATCTACCTGTGGCTTTGTGCCACATGGCCATTGCCAACATGTTAAGGAGCCTCCTTTTAAATGTTGTTCAACACAACATTCAGTAGAGCGTGGAAATTTGCAGCCTTCTAATTTCAGGATAGTATCTGTGACAGCACCATCCCAAAGTCTAGCAACCCAGATTACAGAAGGGAAATGAGCAGTCATTTTCATGCTGTTTTTCCTTTTTATTTTTAAATAAAGGGTCTATATTTAAGTTGGAGAGGGTGTAGAGTCATGGGAATGCTTGCTGACCTTTTATAAGTAAAGCTACTTGAAGAGTTTGACAAAGCAAGATGGAAAGTGATTCATAGGAGAGATTACAGCATTTAATGCATACAGAAAAAGATGGCAGAGAAGGTCATTTCCTACATTTCTACATGTGCTTGGCTCTTCTCATCTAATGATCAATTCACAGCACACAGTTTTTTGGCACCAGCTCCCACATTCTCCTGTGGTGGCACTTCAGGACAAGAGAGCTTTTGCAAGGCCAGTGTCATGAGATATCACAATTCCTATCTCAGGAAGGATTTCTCCTGGCACATAACACAGGCAAAAAGCAAAACCTTGGTGTGCTATGGAAGCCATCCGCATGGCAACATCAGCTAAGGAAGGGCACAAGTTGCTTTAGAGAGTGCAACAAATTAAAGTGTGAAGTAAAAGTTAGGAAAAGCTGCAGCATGACCCACGGTCAACGAGGTTTTAGCTTTAAGGGGAGCTTCCATCCATACCTTTTCATCCGCTCCTGTTCACTGGTGTCCAGGGCTTTCAAAGTCCGAGCGTACAGGATCACAATGTCAGAGCGTTTTGCTTTCTTATTGCACTAGAATAAAAGGAAGTGTTAGCTTTCCTGCAAGAATTTAACATCCCGTTTAAATCCGAGCTACACATCCCTACCAGCTGTTAGGCATTCTTTTGAGATTCCATTTTAGTTTAAGGGAGGGGTTGCTTCCCCCCCAGAATCCACACAAACAAAGATAACTCAGCACATTTACTAGGCATTTCTTCACTAGAGCTCTAACCAGGGCTACTACAACATTTTGGGTCCTATATCCTGTGGCTTAATCTGGCTTTAACCTTTAATCTTCTTGCTTCCCACTGAATTGGTTTTGCTAAAGCAGCAGGGACACAGCATAGTCAGGTGAGTTTTACATACAAATGAAGGAAGTCCAAAACAAACCACTAATTGTACATCTACGTGGAAAGCATGAGGACTGGCATCACACAACGAGTCAGGCACCCCTGAGCACTCTAAACCCCATTAGTTTCCTATTACACCCATTAAATCAAGTCCCACTGGCCCCAATTATTCTCATGTCAGTGCAAAACACTGATTTCCCACCAATTTCTGGGACACAAGAAGATTCAGATAGTTAAAGAATTTTGTGCATCTGGCTGTGATCATCAAGTACTTTAGACTCTTTTTTACAAAGCTGAGATGATACCTCCTGGACTGGGAAAAGCCACGGAAAAAAAACACGATATCTGCAGGTCTGTTGTTTTAAAAATAGGCTGTGCCGATTACAAAAAAGGCAGTGAACTTGAGGATCAAGCAAACATTAATTTCTGAACATTGAATTAGTATGTGTGACTAAAAGGCTCACTTAGCTACTATTTAGCAGCATGAAGATATCACGGATTGCAGTGCCAGTATCAAACAAGTCCCCGCACCAAGGGTTTGGGGGGCAGTAAGGGGGCTAAGGCCACTCTCCTGGCAGCTGGTGCTGCAGGATTTGGCACGCTGCATTTTCACAGTAGCTCAAGCTCAAGCCACTTAGTACACAGAGCCACACGCACAGCAGCTCTGCCTTTCAATCAGAGAATACCCAGTCGCAAACAACAGCAACTGAAAAGTGATTGAGTGGAAAGGATCACTCCAGAGCAAGTTTTTCAAGTGAAGTTTCAGCAGCTTCATCGCTACAAGAGAAACAGGCAGCAAAAAGCACCTCCTGGGAATTGTTAGGGTTCATCCCACAGATGAACGTGCTCTGAGAACAGCTGTTTGTAGTATTTAATCGCGGTGCATGGCAGGAAGTTTCTTGTTCAGAGGAGGGAATCCTGCCGAAAGTCAGGCAAGGCTAGGGAAAATGGAAAGGCTCAAAACGAAAAAGCCAGAAAAATCCTGGGCTTTCAGCCACGGAGCTGTAAAGCAGCAGAATTTAATTCTATTTACAAGGCACCCTGACCTATTTTTTCTAAAAACATTCCTTTCGGGAGAAAAGGAATTAGGATTGGAAGAGGAACACAGGCCTAATCAAAAGCGATCAGTATTACCCGAGAGAGAGCCCAACACACACTCCCTGGAAGAAAACGGATCTACTGCTCACGATCGAATATTAAAAGATGCAGCTGTTATTTTCAGTTGACTCTCTGTAAACTACCTAAACAACTTGACCTGCTTAAAGGCTGCAAAAGCATAGGCAGTTGAAAACAGAAGATTAAAACCTGAAAATGCTTCTCAAACAGATTTCTTGTCCAATAACGTAATCTTTATGCTTAATTGTTTCTAGGAATGTGCATACTCTCCCATTCCCACACACCAGGACCACTGTGAAACCAATTACGGGGTTAACACTTGAACTTTCAAACTTCTGAGTCTGCAACTCACAGATACTCCATCTCAGGGAGAAAATCCACAGGAAAATTCTCCTTTTCAAACAGTGCTGGCTGTTCCTGACCTAGTTACGTCAAAATAATGGTGATTTTTGTGATTTCTGACAGCGTGCAAAGGTGGATTCTCCATGCAGCAAGCAGTTGTAATCGTTATTGTGATCATGCCTGGAGCAAACGCTACCCGATGGCAAGCCCTCTTCACTGCACATAAACGTCCAGTTTTACCTGGGGGCACTTTCCTGCCTGTCCCTTGAGCCACTTCTCGATGCAGGTGTAACCAAACAGGTGCCCACACCGCAGTGCTGACAGGCGGTGGCCCCCTGCATTGGTCCACTGCTCGAAGCAGATGGCACAAGTGTCCCCTTCTTCCTCATCCAAGGGCGCAGCAGGAGCCAATGGTTCTGCCTTCTTTGCTGGACTTCTCTAAAATACATAAAACAAAATTTAGACAGATGCAGCATTTCCCACCTTTAGTCTGTTATCCCAATGCTTTGGGGGACTTTACCTGCTTTTGCTGGAAGGCGGCCTCTTCATTTTCATGACTTTCATCTTCTGCAGGGGGAGGTAGAGCTGGAAGTGGCTCTGCTTGGGCCTGACTGGAAACTAAAGAGCATTAATTGAGAAAGCATTAATTGAGCTGATACATAAGGGGAGGGAGAACATCTCCTTGACCTGATCTGCAGTTATGAGTGCATCAAGACAAGCAGTGCAGCAGCAGCACAGGTTACAAGGTTACATACGAGCTTTGCACCATGGATACAGAAGATCAGGCAATTTATAAGTCCTTGTAATGCAAGATTAGCACCAAAGAACAGAGAGCTTGCCTTTATAGAAAGAAACAATCACAGCACGCTCAGTGACAAAGCAGAGAGCCCTTCTGAAGACAGCAACTATCATCAGGACTTGCCCAAACTGCTGGAAACAAGAACATCTTCATAGGGGCCTACAGTTGGGTCGATGCTAAGGTGACGAGCTCGAATCATTGCACCCAGTAAGAGACAGGCAAAGGCAGAAGTTATTTTGCAAGGGTATCGAGGCATGCATATTTCTTGCGCCAAGAAAGCACTTACAATATGTTGCCTGTTCCTTTACCCTGCCTTAAATAGTTTTCTACCTAGTAGCTGTCTGAACTATCATTTCTGCTGGGCCATATGTTTCTGTCGCTGGCCCGTTAGCCCTTCTGTTGAAGCAGACACACAGAAGGATTTTGTTGGCATTGTCACTACTAGCATACTGAAAAAGCAGCAGAAACCACTGCCATCTCCTCTCGCCTGCCATCTCCTGATTAAAAAAAAAGGTTAGTCACAATTAGTACCCAAGTCAGATATTGTCCAGACAGCAAAGTGTTATTACAATAGCCTGGCTAATGCCAGTAAGAGGTTTCCTGCCTCTGTAGTTCAAAAAATAAAATGACAAGAGGATTCCAAAGAACCCAAGAGACAGCATATGTTCCCATGCTATCATGCTGCACTTCACAGTTTGTGCTCATGCCACATGTAAGACTAACCCAGGGTGACTAGAATGGAGGCATTCCTTAGGGCCTAAGGTAAAGAACATTTTATCTGCATGTTCTCTGGGCATCATTAGCCTTGAATACCAAAGCGATTGTTTGCCACTTATTTTCACCAAAGAGCTTGGCAGTCCAAACATGAGTTTGACTAAAAAGCTGACAGACAGAAAGAGCTGAGGAAAGAAGAGGTAAAACAAAAAGCCACTGTCCCAAGTGCCCCAGGATCCTTGGCAAAGTGTGCCAAGAGGTTACAGGAAAGATGAGAAAACTCTGGGCTGAAGAAGATGAAGCCCTAAATAATTTAAAAATATCCTGGATCATATCCCTCTCGGAAATGAGAGCACTGCCGACCTCCAGAGATGTGTCCTGCTGTTTTCAGTAATATTCCTTGGCAAGATACAAAGGAAGAAGCATTCAAAGTAACAATGCCTAAACTTGTGGTTATTGAATGTTTCTAGGATTATTTATAATTTTAAAACAGCAGTGAGCATATTTAAGCCTACAGCAACAATCACTCATTGCTGCTACAGCTCTTAGAGACGCTTGCCAGAAAGCCTTGTGGTGGCAAGCTGCTCCTCTCAGCTGTGGGCACAACCATCTCCTCGCGCCGTCTGTTGCGAGCCTGGGAGGATTTCCCTGCCGAGTTTGGAAGCAGGAAGAGGAGTTTCTGAAACTAAATCTTCATGCAATGCAAACACAGCACCAACCTCCTAAGCTGGGTGGCGTAGGGGTCTCCTGAGCTCCAGCATCCAGCTCTTCCTCCTCAGCAGAGGTGCTGCTGTCAGAGTCACTCACTTCTATGGTTTCATCCGAGCTGTGGCCCTGGTTGTCCCCCAGATTGTGTGAGGGCTCCAGACGTGGAGCTGCTACTGCAGCCGGCTCTTGGGTCCTGCTGATTTGAAAGTAACTCTCCAGCGCTGCACTGATTCCAGAAGAGCAAGAAATAAGTCACAGAGTTGTTCCAGGAAAAGGGAAAACATAGTACATTTTGCTAAGCATAGCTTCAATGAGATTCTTAGGAACTACCTGCTTTAGCAGCAACCTGTACTTAAAGCTGAAACTTGAACTTGGCTCCTACAGACACGGTCAATACTGGATACACAGGGGTTGTGTCAAACTCATCCTGGTCCCTCTTGTGCCTGGTCTTTCCACCTTCCCTTTTGCTGCTGTTCTTCTCCAGAAAGCAGCACCATCCCCTCCCCTCCACCCGTTCAGCTATCGTCTCAGTTACCCTTCCCTGTGAACGCAGGGAGTTGTCAGGTGGCCTTCCAGCCCTGAGAACTACAGTGACCTTCACGAGAAATCCAAGGGCAAATTCTGCAGTTTTGTTTAATCATCTGGGAGGAGAAGAGCACTTGGTCTCACTGAATTTAAAGGAAACTCTCCACTTAATTAGAATGTCACCCTTGGCATTTACAAGAGATACAGAGACAAGGAGGAGGTGGAAGAAAAAAACCATAAAACCCACAGAGGAATAGGGATTTCTCACTAGTTGGAGTGCATCTCCACTAATCACACTTTAAAGTCAGTCATGTGTGGCATTAAGTGAAAAATTATTTTCCTTGTCTGGAGATAACACAAAAAACTGTAAGAAAAATCTTAGTTTGAGCACCAGTAAAAGTGTCTGCAGTTGTCACCAGAGGACCTAAATAAGACAAACGCCAATCAAAGGTGAAATATAAAACAGCGCAAGCTTCACTGAGCTAAATGCTGGCTGGCAGTGCAGGGAAGCAGCCCTGCCATGGGAAGTACCAACAGGAACCTGCCAGGGCACAGGGATCCCAGGGAGCAGCAGCAGCTCTGGAAGTCAGAGAGAGTGGAGGGGGCTCAAAAGTCAACACCACCACCACCAACTTAAGAGACAGCGAGGAATTCATTTAACGAGGAGCTAAAAGTATGCCAGGAGACACCAGGGCGCTCTTGCAAAGGTTACAAGATATGCAAGGGGCACAGAATTTGGCCACAATCACACACTGCACTGAGCTGGGCTCCATAAGCCAGGAAACAGCAGTTTTTAAGCTGATACCATGGAGTTTGAAAAGACAGGCCCCCAGTCCAATTCCATTTCTGCTTTACCTGGCACTGACCGTCCTTTGGGAGCCACCGACTCTTTGCTGCCTGCGAGCTCTTCTCACGCGCGGGCGCTGTGAGCCCTGCGGCGCGGGCAAGGGCCGATGCTGCTCCAGCGCCGCCCGCAGCCTCCGCGCGCTGCCGAGGGCCGAGGCAGAAGGTGGCTGCTCCCCAGGGTTGGCAGCCGTCCCTGGCGTCCTGACCGCGGTGACCCGCCACCGGCTGCAGATCAACTTCCATCTCTTCTTGAGCCATCGCTGTAAAGAGATGATAAAAACAACTAGGATCCGCAAGCCCATCTCCTGCTTGCGGCACGACAGGGCCATGAGACAGGGATGACAAAAACCTTTATAACTCAGAGCAGAGAGGCAATTTGTCCTTTTGCTTTAGGCACACCGCAAAGCCAAACTGCCTGTACCACAGAGGTGCTGGCAGCGCCTTCCAAGGGTCCTTGCCTGGGCTCAGCACCATCCAGTTGATTTAAGTCGGCCTTCAGACAGAAAGGGAGGGTTAAGAATTTCTTGCTGGTATCATCTACTTGCTGGTAAACACGTGGAGATCTCAGAGTACAGAGCGTGGAAAATATTTTCATGCCCTAGAGGTTTTCTACAGCAACAGGCACAACACAAACATCTACAAATCCAGCTAGAAATCAAAGTGCTTTGTCCCCTGCATTGCTCTTTCTGGAGGAGGGTTTATTTTCAAGCTCCTTCAGAGATAAATGAAATTCTACCACAAGAACAGCTCTCTGTGAGCCTTACCCACAGATTAATCAGCCCTTCAATTGCTTTATATCCACCATACAACACCATACAAACCCAGAAAGGGTATTTATTTATACCAGAATCCATGGCTGAGACATAATGGACTTTAAAGCACCTACAGCATCAGCATTTGTGGGACTTATTCATCCCAAGGCTAGAAAAACATAAATAACCACGAGTTTTACTGCAAAGTTTCAAGCGTGGTTGCTTCCAAACATCTTTGGGATGAAGAATTCAGGTAACCTCCTAAAATAAGGCACTGCCTTATGCTTCAAAGGGAAGAAGAGGGGAAAAGGCTCTGCATGGCTAATAACGAAGCTGACAGAGCATGTTAGCTGCCCTGCAGATCTACAACCTTCAACTGGATAAATAAGCACATGAAAAAAATCCTCTTTCTGGGAGGGTGGGTTAAATGCTATATAATACTGAGGACCATGCGTGTCCTCAGGAGATACTTAAGCAACCACAGGACTGAAAGCCCTTGCAGAAGGGAGCCCTTAGGCCTTATCTGAGAGCCCAAAGGGCATCCCGAGGATGCGCGAACAGAGCCACGACCGCCTCTAGGAGCGAGCAGCGGGAAGACACCCGCGCGGGGGGGAAGGCG